TTTTGAAGTAGTGTTAGTGAGTTTTATGAGTATAAACTGCTTTCGTACTTAAAGTAAACAGCGCTTTTAAACGCACAATTATTTGAAACGATTTTACTCTAAATGCAGATTTTTGGATACACATAGTTGCAAGTTAATGTGGATGTTTTTCGCTCATCATGGCGCAATTTCCTTATCCGAAATAGCCCTGGAAGTGGTTAGTGGCAATTTAAGACGAGTTGCTGTAGGTGTTAGTATATTTTAGGAAATATAGATAACAATTTTTCGGTAGTTATCAGTTTGAGATTAGGAAGACTAAAATTCGTCAGGATTATAATGCGTTCGTAATTCCATTTATAACTAAAATTCTTTGCTGTTGTATACAAACATTCTAAAGTTTATAGTGCTTTAGTCTTTAGTTTCCAAAATCAAGGGAAGTACTTGCTGTAAAACAATTACAAGCCCTCATTTTGGTGTTTTAATCAGGAGTGAAAATTGAGAAAATTAAGATACTGGTCTGAAAAACCAGTGACTGACCTATATTAATTTTCTTTACGCCTTTCACTGGTCCGCTTATAAATGTCACTATTAGATTTTTTAAAAATAAAATTAATAAATGTTAATTTGAATGAAAACTTACGATACAGAGATTGCGTAATGCTGCAATTATGATGAAATATACAATTCTGTGACAAAAACACAGACCAAAACATGGAGTCAAAAAATATAACACTTCCTGATAGATTGATGATCAGGAGAACAGCTAATAATTATTTTATGATGGTCCGAGTTGAAATTTAGTGGTCTCAGATCAACGAACAACTGTTAACTGCGAGGCATTTGGTTTTAATATTCTTTGAAAAAAATAAAAAAGAAAATTCCTGGTTAAATCTTTTTTATATCAATCAGTTTCTAAAAAAAAGGCAGCGCATTTCTGATAATCCTAAAATATTATGAACGATAAATATGTAGTTTCATTTTGTAATTTCGAACATGATGTTCAAATCATAAAAATGTGACTAAGCGAGATATATAAATGGCTAAAATTAGAAATCTAATATTCTTAACAATAGGTTTAGAACAGCTTAATTTTCCACTATTTCTTAATGAGAGCCGTGGTGGCTTAGGGGATAGAGCATTCGCCTTCCAACGTGGTGAACCGGACTTGAATCCCAGCGATGGCTGGTCGATTCGAATTCCACAACCGGCTCGCACCGACCACAGTGCTGACGTAAAATATTCTCAGTGGTAGACAGATCAAGGGTTAGAGTCCCCTTGCCATTAGGTTAACCGTGGAAAGTTTTCGTTGTTTTCGTCTTCATTTAACGCAAATACGGGTTAGTTCCCTCAAAAAGTCCTTCACGAGGGCAAATTTCTCCCAATACTTGATCCAGGAGTTTCAATGTCTTCTAGGTTGGTTTCAAAATTACAAGACTACGGAGTACTTTAGTAGCCGTACTCCCAAAACATTAGTAGCCGTACACTCAAAATTGGGTCGGCTGTTCAACGACGGTTATTAAATAAAATATCGTCAATGGACCGTTATGTCTTCCTTGAATTTTATTAATAATTTTTTATTATTGAACTAAAATTATTACAATAGCTTTAGATTCCTTTATATCATGTTAATCTTATTAAATCTGTCATACGTTTAGGTCAGGGATTCCCGGGATTTTAGTCTGGGGATCTTCACTGATTCGACTCCCGAATCATATTGTGAACCAAATTGCACAAAGTGGCCGGAAAAAATTTATTTAGCAATTGAAAATAAGTTGAAAAAAATATACTATTTTTGCATGTTTTGATATAGTTATTAGAAAAGTAACTATATCACAATATTTCTGGAAACGCCATATTTGCAGTGATTTTCACTGCAAATATGGCAGTGACTCGAGGTAGAATCGTTTTTCTTGTCTTCGTTGCCATGGGTGATAATGCAAGCAATTTAAAGGACGGCTCTGAAGATAAAACTCTTGTCTCCTAGCAATGCGATCCAAGTTCGAATCCCGATGATGACTTTTCAATTCGTTTTCTGCTTTCATATTGCAGCGAGAATAATGAATCCTAGTTGTATATGAGAGTCCCAGAAGGTGTTTGTGGTTTACTTTTCCGTGAAAGGTAAATACAGATCAATACAAGTCTTTTTACGAAAGTGATTATTTTCATCCAGGAGTTCCAATGCTTCCTGGATTGGATTTAAGACTGTAAGGCTACTAAATTGAAAAGGCCGAAAATCTGATAAGGATCGGCTATTCAATGTTGATAATAAAATGAAAGTAAACGCCGGACAACTTGAGATAAAACAGCTTTTGAAAAGAGACAACTCAGGTTCAAATCCCGGCGACAATCGACAGATTCATTTACAGCTCCCGGTGTGCATTGACAACTCCCCAGTTGCAATGCTGACGTAAAATATCCCTTCAAGTAGATGGATCATGGCCGCTGAGAAAACCGTTCAAAAATTTTATTCGTTTACTCTCTACATATTAAGTGAACCCGAATTAATTTAATTCTAAAAGTTTTTTGCAAGACCAAATCTTTAAGTAGACCCTTACTTTTGATGCTTGATACAGAAGTTTCCTTGTCTTCTGGGTAAAATTCATTGACTTATCTTAGTGAAATTTATTATCGTATTGGTAATTCATTTAGATCTTGTTTTGGACGCTCTATTCAACGGCTGTTAAAAAAAATAATGAAATTCGCAATTCAGATTTGGAATTTGAATCTCCCCTCTCGGAAAATTATATTTATCTATCTATCTATATATATCTATATATATATATA